TGAATATATATTATATTAGTTGGTGGCTGGAATATATATTAGTTGGTGACAGAAAAGGATATATATTCAAACCTTGCTGCTTTGACTTGGGAATATATATATTCAATTAGGCTGGTATATATTTTGCTAGAAAATATATAGGCGGGCGGACAGATTATTGATTTGTTTTTCTTTTGTAATACTTTGGGAATAGGTTGGTGAGTGAAATTCTATATGGTTGTAACAATTTTTATATAGTGAAAAGGCTTTGACGGTCCATTTAAATTTGTGCGTTATATTCTTTATTTTTCTTGTTTGCTAATATTATTCTGAACAACAAAAGATCCTGCGGGTTAAGTAGAAAAGGGAAATTGGTGTGAAATTTCTCAACAAGGCACTCAATGGAGGTGGGATGCTATTTGTAAATAAGCATCCGACCCTCAAGGTTCGAGTTGTACATGGAAATACCTTAACAGCAGCTGCGATTCTTAACGAAATCCCCGAGGATGTGACTGAAGTGTTTTTGACTGGAGCAACCTCTAAACTTGGAAGAGCAATTGCTCTTTATCTTTTTGCAGAAAGGAGTCCGAGTTCTGGTAAGATAGAATTTAATTTATTTTTTAAACATATTTTATTGAAGGACTTATTGTACATTCTATATACTTCAATTAGCTTCCATGCATTTCTAACTCGGGTTTACGAACTCTAACATGTCATGTAATTTTGCAGATGCTAACTCTATCAACAGAAAAATTTCGAAAGATTCAGGAAGAAGCTCCAGTTGATTGTCAGAAGTACTTAGTCCAAGTGATTAAATACCAAGCTATCCAAAACTGTAATGTTCTCTCCTCCCATTTTTCCGTCTCAATTTTTTGATCGTTATCGGCATGTTTTTTTATAGTGTTTCCATTGATGCGACAAAATCATTTAAACATTTTCAAACTCTTTAAGATTCTTAAATGTTATCCCTCTGTCGATAGTTTCTGCACACAACATTCTATATATGTTTTGATTCAAATCATGATTTCAATATTAGACATGGATAGTTGGCAAGTGGATCAAACCAAGAGAGCAATATTTTGCCCCAGCTGGAACACACTTCCATCAGTTTGTAGTTCCACCTATTCGGCAGTTAAGAAGAGACTGCACATATGGAGATCTTGCAGCCATGAAGCTGCCTGAGGATGTGGAAGGGTTAGGATCTTGTGAAGTAAGAAATCTTGATTTGTCTCCTGTCTTTCGGTATATATTTTTCCATGTTAATGTTCTTAAAATTTAAGTCAAAATCGACCATCAATTTTAATCACACAATTCATGACATATACAACTTTTCAATCGAACATTTCATAAATATTTTTATCAAAATTTACTAAAAATCTAATTTTCATCTAAATCAAAGAGAAGCTGAATATAAAAATGAGACAAAAACGACAAAAAGAGCCAGAGATTTTGTGTTACTTTTCAATATGATAATTACAAAGAGAAATACCTTATAATGAAAGATTCTATACTAATACACTATGTGGTATGATTATTTTATTAATAAAAATAAGCTGCATTGTCCGGAGCTGGGAGGTACAATAGAAAGCTTAATAAATACTCTCCTTGAGCACTAGTTATATTTCTCGTCACCAAACCATTGAGATATAATTATACTTTTAACGCTTCTAACGATCAAAGGAGTTGGTATACTTTTATCGCTTCTTTGGGTATTTATAGTATTAAAATTTGAGATTTTATCTTAAAATGTCAACTTTATCAAGAACAGTAACCAAACTCTCTTATGTTGGTCCATATTTAGGTAATTATTGACTCCTTTTGTTCAACCTTATTAAGAGAAATAGTTCAAAATCTTATATTTTAGTCTATATTTCAATAATTATCCGACGTGGAATTTATCCCTTAACATATAAGCCCGACTACACAAAAAACTAAAATTTCTATTATATTATCCGTCATGTCCAATATTGTGTACAAGACATTCTCTCGAACAAACTTATCTTCAGGCTTATGATTTCTCTAATTCATTTGAAATCATGCTTTCTACTAAAATGCGTTGTTACCCCTCGATTCCAAGGTCTAAAGAAGCAAGGCCACGTAGGGGACCCAACATGTCAAAGATCCCAGTAAGGCAATAGGCCGAGGTTGCGTGCCATGCACATGATATGAAGGGTCCTACATTGCTGACATGGCATTGACTTAGAGAGTCCTCTAAAAGACAGCATGAACTTCAGTTTAAAGGAGCCTCGGATTGGAGATCCTTGTGTGAAGAGCCTCATCCACTTACATAGTACCTCAGCCGAGAGCCTCATGAGCCTCGGTTTTGGGCTTGTGCTTGGAAAAGGCCCATATGGCCCATTTACATATCTTATGTATATGTGATTCGTTTCATAATTAAGGTATGTTCTTTAACCCTATCTTCTTTCCCTCTTCCTCTCTTATACTTATATTTTCCTCGTTCGGCAGTTGACTTGACCTTCGGAGTGCGAACGGTCGCCGGACCTTTCTCTTGACCGGCGGCCTTTGACTCCTAACAGGGTGTTCAGTGTGCTGGTGATGTCCAGGTGGAGTGGACGTGACGGAGATTCTATTGAGCTCATTTTTTGGGATCAACATGCATAATCAAGAATTAAACAATCAAAGAGATGACAGCATATAAATGTAATGAATGTACTTGAGCTTTACTAATTTTTCTATCATTTTTCTGATACCGTATACAATGGACAGAGGAGTAGTTCATGCATGCCATGCTGGTGGAGTTGTTCACTCATTAGAAGGCTGGAATCACCACGAAGTTGGAGCTATCGACGTCGAGAGAATTGATTTAGTGTGGAATGCTGCACTCAAACATGGTTGAAGCCAGTCTATGCAGATACCAAAAAAATAGCTTTAATAGTTAGAAATCTATTTCCTAAGGGATAAGATATAGCCTTGACGAAATTATTCATCGTATAACAGGCCAGCAACAGAGAATTTGGTTTCATTTCCTGCTGGAAAAATAGGATTTAATTAGAGAATGTATCGACAAGAATATAATAATTGTGTTAATGAAGGGAAATTGTATAATGTTTATGCCTAAGAATTACGAAGGGCATGCACAATCCTATAAATAGGGTTACATACAACTATAAATGAAAGATTTTATACTGATTACAATCAAATTATTACGGAAATAATATCATAAGATATCAATACAATATGGAAATACTTCAATATCACTAAAAGGCTGCATCTCAAATTCTTCATCTTCTTCAAATTTCAAACCCTAGATGAAATCTTATGTGTTTATATATTTTTCGTTTGAAAAATGAAACTCCCTTTGAATGCACAAGATGTTTAATATATATCTCTAATGCATAAGATGTTTAACATCTCTAGGTAAAGGTTTCCAAGTTTCGTGTCAAAATTGCCATTTTGCCCTTAGAATTCATGCTAGGCGCCAAAATTGCTTTCAAGGTTTTAGATATTTAAAGATCTTATAGGTCGCAAATGCATTGCACTTATCAAAAATTATTTTTAATGTACAAGAATTAAACTATAATCTCTCTCTCATAAAAGCAGAATAATATTAGAATGACGTGTCTGTTGGAAATTGGTTAAGAAGATTGAATATTTGATTACGTTTCAAAACCAAAAAATTGAAAAAATGACTTTCGTGTCTATTTCGACTAAATATTAGGACTTGATCTGATGGTCAAATTACAAAAGTAAATTGACCAACTTGTTCTACTCGTCGAGTAGATCGTCATGGTATATTTGGAATCTCAAAATTAATTCCGAATAAATGAGAAATTGTGGTTCAAATTTGGCAAGAAAATAAAGGAAACTGCCAGAAATTTTGCCAAGTGTGTCGCTCGCCTGACACGGGACGTTCGCTCGAACGACAGGCTAGCGACGAAGTCACTGTTTTTATTGCTCAAGCGAGGCAATGACAACAAGCTAGCGACAGTGAATTGTACGACATTTGCCAAGAGTTGCTGAGTTTGGGATGCGATACTGAGCTTTTTTGCCACCACTACTCTCATCCTCTATATATAGGACCCCTAACATCCATTAGGCATCTCATACCATATTTGCATTGAGCATTGCATAAAAAAATGTTGCAAATCACTTTTAAATTCATTCAAAATCCTTTTCTTTTTATAGAGAGAAACTCCGTCAAAAGTTTGTCGTAACTTTTGGTTTGAAGTGCTTCTATCACAAGTTGAATATGTTGTATCTTGAAAAAAAGTTCTGTGAACCATGAGCACCGTTGCGGGACAATTTTATCTTAAGGAAAGAGTGAAAATCACTTGCCTCGGATTCTTCTTCTTTTCCGTTCTTGGTTTTAATTTTTGATTTTCGTTTGTAATTTACATACTACATTTCCAATCCATATTTATAGTGTTTAATCACGCTCGTATTGATTAAACTTTTTTTTTGTTTTTCGATATACAACAACCATTTCACGCGCACTTATATTTAGGATTTAGCCTACGTCACCAACAATATCAAGGTAGAGTGTGATTTTATTGAAGAATAGAACTAATAGGTAAGTATGAGTGTCAAGTGTGCACCATAAATTCTCTACCTTACTTGACAAGAAAAATAGTATTCTATTGATTAGTACGATCGACAATAATATGCACAGTTTCCAGAACATTTTGTAATTAAAAATGTTTATTAACGATAAATAAGCTCGTCAGTAGCATTATATAATATCATGTGTTGTATTTGAATCACCTCTACAAGCTTCGTAAGTATTTCCCATCGCTTAAATACTATAATTCCTACACGTTGCACACGAGAAGCACATGCATTGCACTCATCAAAATATCCTTAATGGACAGAAGAATTACAAAGGGCACAATCCTATAAATAGGGTTACATACAACTGTAAATGAAAGATTTTATACGGATTACAATCAAATTACCACGGAAATAATATCATAAGAAATGAAAAAAATATCCTGATATCACTACAATATGGAAATGCTTCAATATCACTAACAGGCTGCATCTCAAATTCTTCATCTTCTTCAAAAAAAAGTTGGGAGTTTCATTTTTTTTTAATTGGTTGAAAATACTCAATCAAATCTCACCATATTATGTGTATGTAAACTATTATGTACATTTAGCACAATCGTTAAATCTTTGCTTAAGCAAGAAACGCTTGTAATTAGCCTTTTTTTCTTGCTTATACATGAAATACTCGCTCCAAAATCTGCTTTCTCAACTTTTTCTTGCCCTAACAATGAAAATCTTGCTCAAGCAAGATATACTCGAACTTGATAAATTCTCCATTCTTGTTTGTCATTCGGTCTTTGGGCTTGACTCTCCGCACCAACTCTTCAATTTTACCACAAAACACCGTTTTATTACCAATTTAATCTAAGTTCGGGCTTTATCCTACAAATTTGAAAACCAAAAGAATTTTAAACTAGCACCTTTGAAATACCAACTCAAATTCATTGTAAACGAGCCTAGACAATCATTTTTCAAGATATACTTTAAATCCTAATATGGAAACTATTATTTCTTGTATCATATCTTCACTTACCACGGAAAATGTAATGCCTTTGATACCGGAAAATTAGTTTCATCGTCGCTTATGCCCAAAATGGGAAATGTTTTCGTAGACCGAAATTTTTGGGTACAATATACGTTGGGGAAACTTGATTGATGGCACTCAAGCACGAAGCCAAAATGTTTTTGCAAGATTGTAAAAGATACCTAGAGAATTGAGTCGGGATAGGAAACATGATCTCGTCATGACTATATATATTTTTTTATATATTGTGTTTTAAAATTTAAATATATTTAAAAAATAAAAAATACTAAAATGAAATAAATAAATAAATGAGATGCTAAATGAGGATATTTTATCCTATCATGTATTGAATTTCGAAAATTCTCAATATAGTGGGGTTGGAGGGGGACCACCTCAAAGTAATTTTATTTTATTTTAATTTTTTTAGAAAGTTTTCAAGTTTGTACTATTTATCTTTGTTGTTTGATTTCAAGTCAAAATCAATAGTTATTTTTAATCAAATATTTTATGCGTTCCATAACATTTCAACGATACATTCCATCAAAATCCATTAAGAATTCTTTACAATCATTAATGTGTTGTAAAATTTGATAAATATACTAAAAGTTAGTTGCAACTTGCAAATAAAACCAAATAATGACAGCCTCCGGTCAGCCAATAGTCCCATCGAACACGCTTTATCACTCAACATCAATCATCGTTAGTTTAGGCGAAAACTTTGTGCGGTTTAAGGTGGAAAAATGGTATCATCTCACCCATATTCCAATACCAATACATAGACAAACCAACGGTCCACATCCCCCCGCCGTCACCGGCGTCGTCAACCACCAGTTCTCGTCTTTCTTGTGTAAAGCCCAGATTTTTTTCATCTAGTAAAAGTGCCTGCTTTGATCTGAAAATCATCAATATGCCATCTCTTGTTCGAGAAAATCACCTTTACCGACGCACGTTTTTAACCGAGAACCAAAGGAAACTCCTTTTCCTCCTCTTCAAATGCATCATAATGGCCCTTGTAGTGGCCCTCTTCCTTTTCTTCATTGGCTTCGCAACAATTGTTCTTCTTCACTTTCTCATGATGACCAACGCCTTCCGCCGCCGCTGCATCCGCATCAACGAGTTCCTTTTCTCCGATACCATCGCCACCACTTCCTCCGCGGCCACCATGACAACCTCCAACTTGCTTGAACTGCAAGATCTTTTGCCCAAAGTTGAGTATAGTGCCTCAACATTTTCAAAAACCACGGATTGTGCCATCTGCTTGGAATCTTTCATAGAAGGAGATGACTGTAAAATTCTGCCTTCTTGTGAGCACTTATTTCATGCGAATTGTGTGGATCAGTGGCTTGGGAGAAAGCCTAATTGCCCCACTTGTCGAGCCAGGGTTGATATGGATCTTGCCACGACAGGGTCGAGAATCAGTGCTTCTGATCGGTGGAAGATGCTTTGGGAAGTAGGACGGTAATTTGAATTAGCTTCTGCTCAATTGAAAAGCCAAGGGCTTTTGAAATTTGTGCTGGAGTTTTTTTTGTAAGTATGTGAGTTTGTCGTTTGTTCCTTTTTCAGTTTTTTCGAGTTATTGTGTATATGTATATATTTTGGAGTTTGGTATAATACTATAGGTTTGAATCTATTGCTTTTGAGCCATTTGATGCGATAGTTGTTAAAGATGATATGGATGATGAATTTTGTATGATAATCAAATTGACTAAAGGGAAAAGGAGCAAAGTATCACTTCAGGATTTTTTCTAGTGTTTCTTTGACATATTTCCTAATTCCTATTTGGAATATTGTGCGAGGGTTACTGATATGATAATTTTGCCCAAACATAAGAACCCTAAATCAAATCCCCTGATCTTGCAACAATGAATTAAATGCAGAAATAAGAAATGAGCACCAAGATTTGGAGTGGTTCTGTGCAAAAGCACTAACGTCCAAGTGGCTCCAGATGAAGCCGTCTTGCACTATTTGAAAAAAAGAGTTTAGAGTTTACAGATCAACACTCTCAATCTATATCAAGAGTTAAAAAGGCATAGAAAACTCATCCTGGATTTCTAAACTACCCATGGATTAAACAACCTAGCCCTCAATTTACAAACCCATGCTCAAATCAAGAGGAAAAGCGAATCTGAAGATTTGGATATGATGATGTTTATATTGATGCCAAACAGTAGTCCACTTGTTTCTATGCTCCAAGCCCAGGTGAAATCATAACCATATACATATCTTACTATACCGGTTAATTAAATGCCATCGTGTCTTTAAGCACCTGAAAACTCTCATAAAAAGAACTGTTGTCTACGCAAAACATTCTTAACAATCTCTACCTAGCTTCATATACTCTAGAACATAGTGCAATTGGGTGTCGTCTTTCTTAGCCTTCTGCCTAATTTTACCAGTTGGATGTTGAGTAGTTCAAGGCAGTGTTTATAGCAGTATCGTAAGAAATCAAAGATAAAGAGGAAATATGGTTGCAGGATCTACTAAAAGAGTTGATAACGGATAAGACTGTGGTGTTCATTGACAATCAATGTGTCCTCCACTTATTTGGAAACAACTCAAGAGTTCCATGAACATAAAAATCGTCTGGAGATTAAGAAATATTTCTCCCAATAAAAGACTGAAGGTTTGATGGTGGGAAAAAAAAAAAACCACCGATGAGAACCCCTCAGATACCTAAGTTGCTGTAAACAAGCTAGGGCGTTGCCTTGAGCTCGTCAACTTGAGATGAGGTCCACCTCCAGGTAGAGCTGTGATGGCTGGGTTTCTCACTCCAGTGGGAGGAAGTTTTGGCTAAGTATGGAGCAATAGGTAGAGTATGTGACATATTGCCCCAAACTAAGCCATGGTTTTTATGCAAAAAGTGTTAACCCAAGGATTGAGGGAGTCGCAGAAATAAAAAAAAAAAAAAGGCATTTTCATTTAAATTGGAACTATGTCATTTGACACTTGGATTTTATGTGATGTTAGCAGCAATTGAATTGGCGCAGCATAGATGGCAGTTACTCTTCGTCATTCCATAACTCTATTAAAGTTGTTACATTGAGGGTATCAGAACATAGCTTCTAAAAACTTGTTGAGGGGAAAAAATTCTACAGAGTAATTATTAGCCAGGTCTCGGAGAGTTTTTGGAGTGGAAAAAGAAATCCTTGATTTGGTTTGGTTTCTGTGAGTGTGATGTTCTGTACCCATTACGAATTGTAATCTATTTCATATCCTAGTGCAGTACAAGCCCTAGCGTGCACTCAAAAGTGGAAGTAGGTAAATTTGTTCACTTATCCACTCTAAAATCCTGGCTTCTTGGTCTGTTTCTGAATGCATTATTTGTTTGAATGGATTCATAATAAGGTAACAGTTACTTGTAGCAATCGAAATGATTTTGGGAAGTAATGAATAAATTGCTCCTTTAAGCCATCCTTATATGAAGTTAAAAAGAGTTTTTTTTTTGGATGGATGAGATTTTACACGACGACTTATGAACTTAATTAAATGGAATAGTTTATCAACGTTACATTATTTGTCAAGAATTTTTTGGTTTTGGTGACTGAAACCAGGATGGTAGTGTAAGGGGAGGATTAAGTAATGTGGTAAGATTGGAATGTGGGGTCATTTCTGTTACCATTTGAAATGAAACTAATTTGTTGGCTAGAAAATGAAGAGATCAGCATTTTTTGCTGCATGCATTGGATAGGTAATTTAAATTTTGAAGGCTTCTTCATAATAATAATTTTCCGATAAAGGACTGCATTTAATAATAGTAAGTATGTGTTCAATATGTTAGCTTCAGGGCAGATATAGTGAAATTTAAGATCCTTATTTGAAGTGGCCATTGAAAGAATTAAATCTGGTTCCTATTTCGATGTAACAACAAATTCTCGATCCCTCAATACTTATTTAAATTTTTTATGAAGAAATCATGAAATTTGAAACATTTATTTTCAAAAACTAATTTGGGCTTGTCCTTTTCGCTAGTTATCTTACATTTATGTCAAAAATGGTAATGGATATTCATGTCAACTGTGATAATTTGCTCCCTTTAGATTGCCTGTCAAACAATAATTGGCGAGTTCGGCCAATTCAAACCCCGAGAGGAATTGGCCAATCTCATATCAACTGTCAAGTTAAGACCAACTAGAAGCACATTAAAGATATATTTAGTATTTTTGTGGTATTTCTACAATAGTATGCCTTGAACAGGATTCTTGTAGTTCGCCTTGAGTGGTGGGCACGGGCTTAATGACAACATTTTTGTCACATACTTGGTTCATTTGCTTATTAATGACAACATTTTTGTCACATACTTGGTTCATTTGCTTATTATCTCTCAAAATTTACATTTTTTGAGTCACGAATTGTTGGAGGACTGATCTCTGGTCTTGTTTACATAGTATTTGTTTGGGAGACATTATTTGAAGTGAAAAATGACTTTTTGGAGGATGTATGATTAAATAGTAAAGAAATGTTATGAGTCCACGTGCAAAATTATTTTATTGGGAGAATGTTTGGTTGAAAATGAGTTCCAAGGAAAAATTATTTTCAAATAAGTTGTGGCAAGCACAAAAATAATTGGTGCATAACACATCAGCTATACAAGCTTTCAATGCCACATCTGTTTACACTTTACCATTGTCATCTCTGGTGTAAAATTATAGAATCACAATAAAGGAACAGAAGTGGAATATGTTTTTTGCTTGGCTTCGTCATTGTAATTTGAACCTTATTCATGCATGTTAGGTCACTACAGAGTCATATTCTATGTATGATTTAGAAATTTCTATTAACTTGTTGTGAATGAGAAACTTCAATTTGTGTAGCATCAGATTATGTAAATATTCCAAAAGTGAGACAACTACTGGATTGGTGGAACAAGTGATTAGTCCCCAGTTTACCTTAAGATACACTAGTAAGATTGATGTATCATTTTTGATCTGATTTGTCAATCATCACTTTAATTGTCTACTTAATGAAAATCAATATTGGAATTTAGAGGTAGTAGGCCTTGGGTTTGCTCCCCAATGGTCATCAGTTCGAGTCCCCTCAGGGCCACTGAGGTGAGTATCCGGCCGTAAACTTCAGGACCCCGTGGAATTAGTCGAGGTGCGCGCAAGCTAGCCCGAACATCCACGGTTATAAAAAAAAAATAAAATTTAGAGGTAGTAATGTTACTAATAATGGTAAGAATGTCTACTATTTATGAAGAAAATCACCTAGAAGCAAAGAAACTTCACGGAGATTAGAATGGCTCATTTGACATGTCAAATGTAGAGTAGTACTGGTGGAGCTGAACTGCGATTGTGGAGCCAAACTGATATCTTGACTGTTCTCGCTTATCATGTTCCTTGCAGTGCTTTTTCTTGATTTTAAGACTCATATGAATAGAATATTTGACCTTTGCACCTCTTCTTGTATGTTTTTTTTTTTTTTTTAATTTGTTTCAATTCTTGATTTTATCTCTTTTAGACAAGGCTGGCCTGGTTTTGCTTGAATGTTACTGAGGGAGAGTTATTTTCTGAGATATGTTATGTCCTGTTCTAGCTAGTTTGATTAATTGAAGGTTAGCATATAGAGAACTTGTTTTGTGGAAAACTACGGGTTTAGCGTGCTAAATGCACGAATTTACTACTATAGATGTTTATTTACCTCATTACTGGTGTGCGCGGATTTCTAGAGCTCCATTTGTTAGATATCGACTTCTTGGAAAATGTAAAATCATCAACTGTGGTAACTGTGGAAATGCACATAACGCAGGAGTTACACTTTCTTGGAGCCACGCACTTACCATAGCCCAGACTCATGATATGTAGTAAGTAGCAGCCAAAGGCAGGATGTGCAGGGAATTAAGATGATGTAGAATATTATAACAGTGCAATTTTAGAATTTTCACTTGAAAATATTTAGGACACCTTTGTAGGAGAAGAGTTTATAATGTCACACACCATTGGATCAAATGAATCTCTGCTGTTCATTTGGAAGATGTGCCTATAAATAGAAATGAGGGCTCATGTTAAAAATCAAGTTGAAGCCCATCTGAGTATTTGACTATTGAAATTTTGCAAGGTACATTAATTCTTTTCCCAAAGAATCTCTCTTTGACTCAGAAAAAAGTACGAAAATACATAGGAAGTTTGAAAATAATAGGGTATACTTACATGCACTTGAACAATCCGTTGGAAGGATTAAAAAGTAGAGTTATTGTCCAAAATTTTCTGTACTGGCGCAAATATAACTAAGTAGCAGGTAGGCTAGGTGTCTGTAGCATGATTCATCGAGAGGAAGAAGCTCCAACTCATGGCTTCTCTTCTTCTTGAAATTGGTATTCAAGGTCGAGAGACAATTTACGTTGTTGATGAAATAAACAATTTAACTAAAACTTCATAGATAAATAAAAGGAAAATACTCCCTCCTTCATATAGGCTGATTTTCCTTATTTTTTTGTCTCAATTATATAGCTATGTTTCCTTATTGAGAATGTTTTTATTTTGTTCATTTACTAATATACTCTTTTTTGATTTGTCTGGTTATAACTAATTTACTACTAGTTGTTGATAATTAAATAAGGGTAAACTATGAATGTTTTTGTTAAAAATTCATTTTTCAATAATATTAAATAAGATTTCTTAATCCGTGTGAAAAAGAAAACTAGCATATATAAATGAGACGGATGGAGTATTATTTTTCTATTCAAATTTAATTAAATTCTATGTTCATGAATGTATTTGATTGTTCTCATGAGTGTTAGATATAAATGAATT